TCCTTAGCATCCCAAAATAAATCCACATATCAAGTGCTTCTGTGTTTTTGATCTTTGTCTTAAGTTGAAGTGTGGGATTTTGTGCCATGCAGTAGAATGGAGAATATGTGAAAAAAGAAAGTACAGCCTCTTTGAACTCTAAGGTTTTACCTATCAGAACATAATAAAAAGCATCTGGTCCTCAGCAGGTCTGAAAATGAGGCAAATACAACCTCAGATGAACAACAAGACACATGACGTATTACACCATGTCATGATTTTCAGACCTGCTAAGGACCAGATGCTTTTTATTATGTTCTGATAGGTAAAACCATAGAAATCTTGACAAGAGGCTCGAACTGTCCACCTCTGCAGTTTTAAGAGCATGATGATGATCATCATGTATACCTTCCGAATGCTGCACTCTTTTGCTTTTATATCTCTTCCCTAGTCCTCTCAGAGCAGTTTACAAAATAATTCATGAAACATTAAAGACGCAATAAAAACAATCCAAGCGAGGAAACAACCTGATTATTAAAATCTGGCTCATGCAGTAAAACCAGGGGCAGAGCAGAGCCATCCCTTAGAAGAGCCTGAAGGCAGAACTTTAATCACCGGGTTGTTTTCCATGAAGCCTGTAGGCTGAAATCCTGTTGCTGAGCATAGTAAGTCACACTAGAGTAGACCCATGGACTCCGTGGGGGTGGAATGAGGTCTCCTGCCTTGGGCAGAGGGGGTTGGACTAGATGACCTTCAAGGTCCCTTCCAACCCTTCCATGATTTTCTGTTTCAGATTAGCAGCAGATAAAAAAGAGCACCCTTCCTAGGTGGTCAGGTCTTGTTCATCCGGATACCTCTTGCTGATTTTGTTTTTCTTTCCTTTTTTCTTTTTTTAAAAAAGAGAGCTGGCCTTAGATGAACCGGCCCACACCTGCTGGAGTGGGATGTGCGGCTATCCGCAGCTGGTGTCGCAGGTCCACGTCATCTCGGCTGCAGGACTGAAGAACTCCGAAGAAGGTAAGTGGCCTTTGCTTAGGCGTCTTTCTCACCCAGCGCAGCCAAAAGGGTAGAATCGTGGCGTTGGAAGTGGCCTGTGAAGCCACTGCGTTCAACCCCCAGCTCAAGGCAGGAATGCAAATTAAAGTATATCTGATACACATCCGTCTCTTGAATGCCTCCAGGGTTGGAGCGTTCACCACCTCCCGAGGTCATGGGATCCATTGTTGTACTGCTCGAACAGTTAAGAAGTTTTTCCCCCCTGATATTCAACCTAAATCTGGCTTCTTGTAGCTTCAGCCCCTTGAGCATGTGCTAGGCAGAGAACTTTTGCCCCTTAAGAGAGCCTAAGAATCTTTACTGAACACATAACACAAAGGCTGGAGCACATGGGGTGGCTTGTCCTGCCTCCTTGTCTGCTTGGGCAGCCAGGCAAGGAAGCGGGGCAAAGAAGCCTGTGCTCCTGCCAGAGACTGGTTGAACAGTTGGCATGCACTGGCTGGTGAGTGGGGGAAAC